AAAACTAGTCTCTAAATATCCAAGTTTTCATATACTTTAAACTCTCTTAAAAGAAACCCTTCCCATTGCTGTGTTCATTTTGTTAGGAGAGAACATGTATGATAAATCTTTTACCTGTAGGAATTGATGTGTCATCCACAGGCAGGTAGGACTGAGCACTGATGGACACTACATGGTCGTACATATCTGCTGCACCCTAGCCAAGGCCGCAGACCCGCCACGTACGGCACACGACAACCCTGAACACACCCGACCAACCCCCAGACACAACCCCAGACAGCGCCCCCACCCCACACAACTACCAGCAAAAACAGTGGTTAGTGAGCAGTCGAGATGCATTTGTCCTTTACTCTCGCAAACAAATCTGGAGCGGCAGTGCCTGAGAGGACAACAAAGCAGTTCACTGCACAATGTAAATGTAGGTTGAATATGTGACAAATAAACTTGAAAACTGAACATGATCATAATTAATGGTGAAATATTATGTATCTTCCTGCTGCATGTCTTCAAATTTCCCACAGCACTTATACATTAGATGATCATAGAGCTGATCATGTGCCCTTACCTGTCCCGCCAGGTTGAAGTAGGAGTGGTTGGTGAGGTTGATGGGGGTGGTTTTGTTAGACCGGGCTTGGTATTCAGCAGTTAGTGTTTCCCCCTGAACACACAGCTTAAATGTTACTGAACTGACATCTGCTAACCATTTATTAATATGCAAATAAATACAGTGGAGTCTTTTGTTTTCTTAAAGGCCCAGTGTGTAGGATTTAGTGGCACCTAGCGATCAGTATCCGACAACCTGAGAACTAGAACGGGCTGTAGGTGTGCAGGAGACACTACGGTGGCCGCGAAACTCGTGAAAAAGGCGAAATGCCCTATTTGGTTTGTCCATTCTGGGCTACTGTAGAAACAAGGTGGTTCAACATGGTGGACTCATAGAAGAGGACCCACTGCCTCTATAAATAAAATAGCTCATTTAAAAAGGTAACAACACAATTCCTATATTCAGGTAATGATATGATACACTAATGAAAACATACCTATGAATATTATATTTGCCAGTAGATATTCCTACATGTAACCTTTAAGAACCTTTAAGACTAAAAAAGTTCATTTGAATTCAGTGAAATGATTAAACAACTGACAACAAAATCAGTACGGCATTTTGCAATGTGTAAGACAAATTTCTTCGGGGAAACAAGAGTAAATAATATAATTACTCCACATTTATCAAATTTGTATGGAAGCCCATTTCCACCAATGTGACAGAAAAAAGGGATTCTGTACGTCATTGTAATGAGAAACCTTCTCAAAATACTGACTCAGTATCTGAAAATTTTGAGAAAGTTTCTCATTACAATGACTTACCTCTTTTCCCCCATCACACTGGCAGAAATGGGTTTCCATTAATGTTAGACCTTTTTATCCAGTGTTGTTGGGTTTCGGTGATCTGCGTTGATCAAACAGGCGGTTTAGGGCTGATTAAATAGACTAATGGTCATCATTCAAGAGCCCAAACTCTTTAGTCACATGATCCCGGAAAACGCAAATCTCGTTTGAAAAACAGAAACGTGTTTGGGATTCCTTTAGGGGAAATAGCTACAGAGCTGTGAAGTTATGAAGCAGGTGTGTTTACCTGTAGGGTGTAGGAGACAGAGACTTGAACCTCTCCAGGATAACCCTGGTCTCCATCTGGACTTGTAAGACTCAGCTGAATGCCACCGTCGACTGCTGTAGCAAGCCAGATAGCCTCAAGAGAAAAACACATACATACAATATTATACAGGGTACACAAATAGGATTAAAAACTGGAAGTAGTCTTTCTTACAAGAGATCAAATAAATTCTGTTCCATTAGCTACACCAGCCAATCCCAGCTGACATTGCATGAGAGTGTGGACGCTCACATTCACATCTATGGGCAATTTAGTCGGCAACAACCTGCATGTCTTTAGACTGTGAGAGGAAACCTGCAGATAGGACATGCAAACTCCACACAGAAAGACCCCAGCTGGAACCCAGAACTGTCTTGCTGTGACGCAACAGTGCTAACCACTGTGCCACTCTAGATCAATAAGACGTAATGTAAAAGAAAACATTCCATCAACAGTCAGGATGACGCGATCCGATCTCAGAGATCTGTACTGGGGCCGATCAAGGCATTTTTTAACTGATTGGTATATAATAAAACATACAAAACAAGACATGGTCAATATTTGGTATATGGTGGAACCATGAATGAAACACTAGAGGGCTTTTAATTTGAAATGAAAAAAGCAAAGCTGAGTTAGGGACTGTTCAATTTCTGGAAGACACCAGAAGAGACCTGCTTTCTCTGGAGCTGTTCCCTCTGATTGAGCTCCTTTTCGCTCAATTTAATCCAACCCTCCCCTCTTGAGCTGCGGCTAAGAGACTGTTGTCATTTGCCGGAATGATATTCCACCCACACAGGAGGCCGGTAAAACCTGGAATATATGAAAAGTTAGTTGTTCCTAGTGGCAACTAATAGGCTACTATTTGAAGTGGTCTGCCCTGTCACCGAATTGGAACGAGAGCAAGATCTACATACTGTGCAAGACATGCTACATGCAGTATATTTTGTTGTTGGTTTGTTTAATACTGTTTTGCTTAGATGCAGTAGCATTATACTTCCTGTGCTTCTTTCCTATAGGATTTAAACTCTTACTACAGCCTTGTGCGCAAAATCTGACTTCTAACTACTTTATGTCTGCTGTCAGCTGCTAATGTGGACACTCAACATATGCAATCTGTCCCTTCTTTCTACAGCTGTCTTTACAGCTTATGCTTAAAACATCAGCATGTGATGCAGCTTAAGCAGTGCAATAATAAAAGTGTGTTTATCTAAATTAGATACATACGCAGAAGCCACACAATCGTGCAGATAGATGCATGGCACAAGCACACAAATACACAGTCCTCAAAAAATTTATTAGGTGTAGAGTTTTTTATCTGTGTGTGTGTGTGTGTGTGTGGGGGGGATGGAGCAGCTAATTGAATTGTCAGCAATTAGCCAATGTTGTGTACAGTTTAGCCCTCAGGCCGAATGAGCATACTGCTGCTTTAACTACAAACCAATACTGACAGCCTCATTGATGTTTTAACCTTTTTTTTTACCAGACATCTGTTGAAATGTATGTTCTATGGCAATTACTGGCAATTATTAACCCTTGAATGTTGGTCTGTTTGTTGGTGGATCCACCACATACTGAAAGCCCATATTGAAATATCTCAACAACTATTGGATGGATTGCCATGAAAATTGGAACAGGAATTCATCGTCACCAAGGGATAAATCCAAAATACTTTGGTGATCCCCAAACCATCCCTCTCACACCACCAGCAGGTTAAAATGTTCTTATCGCTAGTGAACATTTTTACAGCTTGGCACCAAGTGTAAACCTATTTTAACGTCACCTATTGGTTTATGGAGTACTGTTTTGAAGCCTTAAGTTTGGCATTATGGTGGTCGCCATGTTGTTTTTTCAGCCAGCAGAGGTGACGTACTGCGAGTTAAGCTGCTCTCATTGGCTGTGCAGTTTCAAGTCGTCTGAAGCAGGAAACAATGGTGGATCGCCTGGTCACACACAATCTTATATTACAGCTAAACAGTACACTAAAATTTGTTTCTGAAACAACTTTAGGAGATAAATAGTCCACGCAGTAACAGAAT